ACGACATACAGTCCTGTTCGGCGGATGCAAGGGCGTTTCTGGCGGAGTGCGCTAGGCGCGGCACCAAACCCGTTCTCCAGCAGTTATTCAAGCGAGAAGACTACCATATCATGAGTATTAGCCGTCTTCCACCAACAGTTGTCGCTTACCCGCTTCAACCACAGCTGGAGAACGCGTTTGGTGCCGCACCAAAGCTATCCGCTCGACACGCCCCAGCGTCCACAGCGCGCAAGACACTAATCCTAGTACCGTCACGCGTTAGTTTCGTGTAACGGCGAACTTGCAGGTACCGGTAATAATAACAAGATCAACTGGCCCATTACCGATGGTCAAGAACTCATCGATATTATTGAGACAGTGTACAGGTGGGTCCCTTTGTAAAGTCTTTCTTGTCTTTTGAATTTATAAAGAAATCCAAGCAGGTCCCTACATCAGTTAATCAGGTATTCTTTCAGAGGCGCTCGCAAAGGTCGCGGTTTGGTGGTCTCGCCGAAGGACTACTCGACCAAATATAAATATTGATCGTTTGTACTGTGTTTATTCTTTCATGTGATAATAAATGGTATAGCAACCTTCTTGTGTTGAAGGAGAACTCAGTTTTCGTACTGACGCAGTATCAATCATACTCTCATGTAGTGCTTTTATTCTGTACAGCTTCCAGCTCCTAAGCTCCTAGTTTTTTAGGTTTACGATGTCCGACAGGTTGACGCAATTGCAAGACCTTGTTAACGAGTTGGCATCCTTTATGACAAATGCCATCGGAGTGCTACAGGCGACAGCCCCTCCATGTGATTTCGACCGTTGCAATCCGGTACGATATAGAGGGCAACGACCTTGAAGAGTGTTCATACTTTACGTCAGCGTTTATAGCGACTAGGAGTGTGCAGGTATCGATTCAGAGTTTTGAGCGTATATCAGCGTTTTCAGTGACTTCCCGCGAAACGCTAGCGTACGCTCAAAATCCTGGATCGACGCTTACACTTTCCTAAGCGCTGAACGCTCAGGAGGCCGGCGCAAAGTTTGAACGCAGTCTTTTACTGGACTACTTCATGGTGATTACACAGTGTTTTTTTTCAGGAGCTCGAAGAGGAGACAAACTGTCAGTTGTTCGCGGCACATATTGCTAGAACTGCCAAGGATGTTGAAGTATGTGAAACAGGGAGACCGTCAAGACAATCGTACTTTCTCGCACCGTGGCGCGACGATGGGCGCAAGGTTTTCTTGAGTTGCGTTAGCCTGTCAATGGGAGCACTGAATTCAGCGTAAATTACGAATCGTGTATCTGTTGCCGCTTTGGAACTGTCAATTGCCTGCAACTAGAAACATCGCGATTTGTGGGCGCGACGTCGCACGCGACACCCATCAGAGCGGCGAACTACGATTGTCTTGTCACATACCCTCGCCCATCCAAGATGTCAAACAGCGTTGTGATTTCAGGTATTGATTGACTCTTTCCCGATTGATGATGCTGGAAATGGAGACACAGTTGAACAATTACTGCAAGTAGATGCCGAGAGATCAAAGGTAGGTTCATTACACTAGATTTCTTTCGAGCCTATGAAGTCTAGGAAATATTGATTTTGGCAGAAAACCCTCGAAAACCATTGAAACCATTGTAGTGTATCGGCTTCTAGATTCACTTCTAGATACTACTTCTAATCCGTTTATCTGATTGCTGAAAGAACCCACAGTTTCTCTTCAGCTCCCAAAAAGATTAACATAAAACTGTATATACTGCATAGCTGTATAATTTTGCGACTGCGTTCTGGGAGAATTAGCATTTAGAGCGAAGAGCAAAGCGGAGCGATTGGCGCCCAGAATGTTTGGCACCCATCGATACCTGTGCTATCCTCTTTGCTCGACGCGCTGATTTTCCAGAACGCCAGATCGATAGCTATGCTTCTTTTTGCTCGCAACCACAATGTCGATTGTCACAATGTCCGAAAGTATGAACGCAACCTAACAACGTGGCTAGTTTTTGGTTTTTAGGTAGCTCGTGAACTAGAGTGCATTGTCGCAGATGGAGAAGATCTTGTTCAAGAATTCAGAAACGCCTTGCAGATGTGGCGCGAGTTCAGATTATGTCAAGGCCATCATGTTGAGAGTTACAGTGCTAACAGTGTTATGGGTATTCTTTACTTAGCTGTTGTAAATTTGAAAAAGTATCGGTGTATATATCTCTGCCAGTTTTTACAATTTTTGATTTTATCAATGAAGTGCTTTTCTTCATGTGTAGACCGATGTTACTGTAGTTCAGATTAAAAAAATCTGATCACAATAGGTGAAGCTTCAGTGTCCATGAACGGTGACCCAAGTAAATGGAAAAACCGGGCTGGCTTCGAATATTGGGACCAAAATTGTTACTGCTGTTCTCACAAATGGGTTGTAGGGTGTCGAGGTTTTCCTGTTCTGCACATATCGGGTTATTAGGGTGTCGAGGGTTTTGTGTGAGAATGCAGTAGCTGGGTGTTGTGAACGGCTAAAAAGAACAGACTACAGAATAGATGTGTGAACAATACACAAGGGGAGGTCGTACTTTTCCTCTGGGGGGCAAGCGGGGATCGGATTTGGTCAGTTGTGAAGAGAAGAGAGAGAGAGAGAGAGAGAGAGAGAGAGAGAGATTGTGAGAGAGAGCAGATGGAGAGGAGCAGAGAGAGGAGAGAGAGAGAGAGAAGAATCGTATGTGCCTTGAGATGGAAAATCTGTTCGCAGTTGTTTTCCCGGTTGACATTTCTGCGTCGCTCTCTTTCCTGTTTCATATGCCACTATAAACCACGCATCGTACCCCGACAGCAAATTTCTAGGGAGGCAAGAAAACGGCGAAGTTTGGAAAGCGTCGTAGGAAGTTGGGGGAGTAATTTCTCCCGCTTCAACACTGGCAGTCGGTCATATCCCCACCTCGCCTCGACCGGCAAATTTTGGTGTGAAGAAACCTGGAAAATGGGGGAGTTTGTGGGCAGGGTGTTTTGGAAGCTGGCGGGCGGGAAACGCCCCGTACTGACAGGAACTCCGGCAGTGGGGAGGGGTCTGTACCTACAGACCCGACTACCCACCTCACACGATCACGAATGCTGTACCTGACACAGAACTTGATCGGGCGCGTGGAAGCGCCCGTCACCATAATTATCACTGCACTAATAATTAACCAGTCCCAAGTCTCTTGTGAATTTGTAATCACTTTTCCAAGCTATCAAACGGTTGATCTCCAGGTCGCTAGCCATTTATAAAGAAAAATAGGTCGCAGAACGTGTTTAGGGAGGCTGACCTAAGTAAGTCTGGCTTCGGAATTTGCAGAACGATTCTCGGAACAGAGTCATGAAAATTTGTTTGGATAAAGAGACATATAGTCAAGCGCGGTCACTAAGCATTAACACCCGCGAAGCAAATTCATTGCCACCGGCGGCATGGCATAGTGGTAATAGTCTTGCTATACAGGCGTGAGATGGAGGCTCAGGTTTCGGGGAGACAGTTTCTGCATCTTGTAAAAAGTGTCTCTTTTGAGTCTTTTGAGGACATTTAAGCTTGATATGGTTGCATTTCGCAGCTCCAGTTGATGACCGAGATAATTTACTTCTGATCGGAATAAATCATTGTTCTGGTTCAGTGGACCTATTTCCATCAGAAGTAAATCACCTCGGTTATCAACTGCAGCTGCGAAATGCAACCATTTCATCAACGCAAAATTTTTCTACACTTAAAAAAACATCATTTACAGAACGCAGAAACTTGACTTCCTCAAAACCCAAAGCTTTTAGCTCACGCCAGTACAGCAAGGCATACCACTACGTCATGCCGCCGCTGGCAGTGCATTCGCTTTGCGGGTATTCATGCGGCGATCGCGTTTGACTGTGTGTCCTTGTTTCGAACAAGCCTTCATAACTACGTTCAGGGAATAGTTCGGCCAATTTTGAAGGCAGATTTCAGATCAGCGTCCAAAAACACGTAACGGAATCTATGCCTCATTATAAATGGGCCCTTCGACCTGGAGACCATCGCGACCAGGGAATTCCGCCAACCTACCATGGAACTTTGAATGGAG